AACGTCAACCGCGAAATGGGTTAACACACACAAACGGACTCACACGGACACGCAGAGAATCCCTCAAACACTCACAGCATACATGGATAGCCAGGACAAGGACATTATTGCGGCCTCCTCACAAAGCTGTGAAAATCCTGCGGCCAAGGGACACACACGTGACACCGCCTCGCCCCTCGTGCCTCTCCACTACCATCTCAAAGCTGACAATCCCGAGGTATTAAAGTTTTCCACTTGCCACTCATTATGCCACAACAAACACACACACACACATACGAGCGCAGCCACAGAAGCAACTCCTTCTGGGGTCCCCGGGAAATGAAAATGAAAATTTCCCGTGCGTCAATAGACAGGAGCCGTAGTAACCCAAAGCCGCAGGATATTTCCGTTCAATATTTGTGCAATTTCCTATATTTGCGCAATAGAATTTGTTGGTGACATGTCATGCCATCACTCTTTCGATGTGCTTTTGTTCGTCGGGGGTTGTACAGCTTTTCGAAGGATTTGGGCACACAAGGAGAACCGAACTTTAAAATATCAAAAACTATCAAACTCTATTTTGAAGCTGGTTGAAAAGAGTGACTGAGATCAGAGGAATTTTGTTTCAGAATTCGCTTACAAAAGATCCAAATGTTTCTCTTTCTTTATATCATAACCGGATAAAAGATTCCTGTTAGAGCTCTTTGGAGTGTGCCCCCCAAAATTCTTTGATTAGATGTTGTCACACGGGACACACGTGGAGATTCCCCCACGAAAATGATGTTCAGCTAAGTGTGAAATTATGGAAATTTTTGACTGCACTGCAGGTGTGTGTGTGAGGGGACGGGTAAGAAGGACGTGTGTTGTTTTTTAATTACCTCTTAAGCAAATTACGTATACGCCGCATTACACGCCAGTAAGTGTGTGTCTAATGCGAAGTCGTGTCTGTGTCTGTGTGTGGGGCATGGGACATGGGACTCAGAAGGTGTCATCTATTTTGATAAGATGTTGCTGCCGCCAAAAGCAGGGTGTCTCCCTGTCCGGGAGAACATGGTCGCCAAGATATACTTGTATATTTAAATGTTCAGCAACATATTTATTGTGTAATATAATTACGTATATATTAAACATTGATACAGATTCCTCTTTCTGATTCCCCTCCCAGAAGCTTAACCAATGTTTTTGGCTTAATGAAATTGAATCATTTTCTACTTAAATTCAAAATGATTCTTATGAAAGTTAATTCACCAAAGAATTCCCACGAATTTCCGTAGCAAGAAAAGTCTTGGCCCTCTACAGGGTGTCGTCGCATCTGATGATAAAACGCCGCTCAATGCTATGCTCCTTGGTCGGTATAGCCTTTGGGCGTTTTCTCTGCGCGAGGACTTCGCTAATGAAGGCGGCACAAAAGTGCATTCAACTGTGGCATGAAGCAGGGAACGCGATTCCAGTGGCAACACAATGCCAGCAGAAGATAGATGGATGGAGATGGTGAGAAAGAGAGAGAGAGAGAGAGAGAGTGAGAGAGATCCCTTTAGGGCAAAACGGGTTGAAGGAAACTTTTTGAAGTTGCCACAAAATGGCGTTAACTTTTTAGTAAGTCACTTGATTACTGCCTCGCCTCGTCTCGTCTCGTCTTTCCTTCTCCAATGAAAGGAGGTGAAAATTGCTTCAATGAAGTTCGCTTGTCGTCGGCTTGACTCTCTCTCACTCTACTTTCTCTTTCTCTCTCTTGCTGCCGTAGAGAAAGGGTTCTTCAACCCGCTTGACCTCATCTTGATTTGGGTCTGAAGTTGGAAGCTCTGCTCTAGTTGGGCGACATTTAGCGCGTAATTGAGACAATTAAATTCGCTTTGACAGTGCCAATGCCCAACCCCCCCTCCCCCCCCCCCCAAAAAAAAAAAGAAGAGGAAAATGGTAGGGAGAAAGAGCCCAGGGAAAAGCCAGAGAGAATTGAGGCAAATCAACAGTAAAACCCCGAAACCGAAATGAAATGTAATAAATAAGGCAAAAGCAAAAACAAAAAAAACGTGTTAAAAAAGAGAAACGAGGGAAACGAGAAAGGAAAACCCTTGAGGAATTCCAAATTAATTGAGTTCCAGAAAGAAATACATTTATCTCAAATTTCTTTGTGCTTTAATCTGTAGCCTTTGCCGTTGCCTCTTTCTCTCAGTGTAGACTGGAAAGCGATAGAGGGAGAGAGAGATAGAGAGAGACAGAGACAGAGAAAAGGGTTTGACAGCAGCCGCACCTTTAAACTGTAATTAAACTTTGCATGTTTTTTTTTGTGTGTGGGTTTTCACACCTTTTGGAATTTTCTTTCAGCCTGCTCTTAAATCCTGAAGTTCCTGAAGTTCTCTGGCTTCCTGCCTGTTTAATATGCATTGCATTTTCCTTCAGAGAGGCTGATTCCTTGAGTCCTTTTTGCGATCCTGCCACAGTGCATGGCATAAGGCGACGGGCAACGAAAAACCGATGACTCAATGAATTTATTATGCGGAAAGTGATATTCAAAGCACACACGCACACGCAGGACCTCCCTGAAAAAAGAAGTCGGAGCTTCTTCCTCTCGCAGGACCGCCCTGGTGGAAGTAGGAGGAGCTTCTTCGTCTCGTAATTGGAGCGTAATGTGTTAAGAGTTGACAGGCTCCACGTGGCATTGCCTCTAATTTGTTTGCCATCTGCCGCATCTCCACTAGACAGTATACAGTATCACTTTTCCTGTTGCATCTGTTGCATATTTCATGGCATGGCAGGGCATGGCACAGCTTTGCCCTAGAGTTTCCCTCTGCGATGTGTAGTTTATCAAGTTTTGCATGCAAATGACACCCCATCCCATTCGACAGCAAGAGGAGCAAACATCAATCAAAGACGCCTCCCATCTGCTGGGATAGGGATTGGATTTCTGTCTTCAATAAGTGGAAAGCAAAGATTTCTTTGGCTTAAAAACTGCATTCAAATAGCAATTCAAGCTCAAATAAACTCTAATATTCCAATAGCACTTTCAAAAAATCTTCGTTCGAGTAAGCCTCTTAAAAAACACAACTCTCTTCAGGTGAAATGATCTCCTCTCCCCTATCCCCTCTCGTCCATGTTTTCCCATGTTCTCGTTGCTGTTCGATTGGTGGTCCATTAGCTGAATTTGAATAGTTTTTCACTCTTGGTTTTCCCACAATACATTCTCTTTTTTTTTCCGATGTGTGTGCTTGTATTTTTCCTTGGTTTTTGGTACTGCTGTTGCGGTGCTCGGTGCTCTTGTTGGTACTGCAAAATGCCCCAAGTGGCAGCCAATTGAACAAATATTCGCCTACGCTGGTTACACCATCCCATCAATGGCTACACCCTATAGAAATTCCCCCCTGAAACTGCAGCCTGCAGGGAGAGATGCCTAAATTTCTGGTTTTTTCCTTTTTTCCACCAATTTGTACTGCCTTTCAGGGGGTATAATGATTAGTTATCAGATGTTTGACTGGTAACATTGCAGAGATTTTCAATCGGAATAAGTCAAATTGGGTTCCGATTCAGTTGGAAGAGTATTAAAAGATGAAACTTCCCCAGAACTCGATTCCATTTGGTGGAATAGATCCTCAAACAGACCGTGAGAGGTATTGAACCATGTTGAAGCCGTTTTGGTTAAAATTCCTAACTACATTTTTAGGTTTAGGGAACGACGGCAGGGTAAAAAGAGTGACTGGACAGCAGTGGCAAATCCATCAGGTATCCTATCCACTGATGGCACTGTTCCACCCCAATGGGCTGGGGGAGGATGGAGGGGCTTCCATTGTGGCGAAGTTTTTCAATTTCTACTAATCCGCGGCATGCGTATACCTCTGCTGCACAAAAAAGAAGAAAAATTACTCGGAATCGAAATGGCGGAGGAGCGGCTTCATGTACGTACGCTCTAGAGGATAAAATGTAAAAAAATAGATCAATTTTCCCACTGTTTGTCTGGCATTCTGGCGAAAGCATAATAAAAACGTTAAACTTTGGTTTGCAAACCGGGAAACCGCATCAAAACGATAGAGGGAAACACCTACACCATCGAAACAAACCACCCAGACTATTTAGGAGGTATTCCCTCTCTATTCTGTATATCAGTATTCCATGGAGGGATACTCTCTGCGTTTTTATGTTAATACCTCTCCCACTCTCATTGGCTGTTTTCCAGGGTATTCAAAGCTTCGTTTCCTTGAACAAAAAGAATATTTTTCTTTTATTTTTCAACTGTAGACTAATATTTTTATTGGCAAAATGGATTTGTGGCAGCTTAACTTGGTTTATGGCATTTGATTGAATATATATGTATGTATGTATTCCTTCCATTTTTCGTTTCGTTTAATCTTTTCCGTCATTCCTCTTCTCTTTCGTGTTTGTTTTCGCTTTCTTTCGCTCTTTGCTTTTGTGCAGTTTAATTTTCATTATAATTTCGATTTGAGGAAGTCTCGTTTTCAGTTTCATTTTTTGGGCCGCTTTAAGAGCGCTGCTCTTGTGGGCCGTAAATGTGTGATAAGAGCTCTTTAATTGCTGTATGATGATGCAGCAACAATTACGAGTCTCGAATCGATACCGTGACCCAATCCGTGGCACAGTTCTGATCGTTTTACACCGTTGTGCCCCGTCATCTTGCATTCGGTGTAACACTTGACATTGACTCCGCTCCTCCGTCTCTTACATCTCTGACATTGAAACCACAGCCACACAATGCGGATGGCCCCCAAAAATGTTTCTGAAAATAAAACTAAAATAAATACCCAACAACCAGACAAAAAAAAGTGTAAATCTGAGAGTATTTGTAGAATGGCGGAAGGTGGACATGTCTAGAGGTAAATCTTTAAAGAAAATATTGACAGATTCTTCGCGCAATCAAATAGTGCGGAGCAAATGGGCAAACAATCGGATTGGATCACATCGCATCGCGGATCCGATCTCCAACGATCAATGACCATTGCCATGACCTAAGCCTCCCCGCATCGAACGAACCATCGAACCATCAAACCATCGAACAAACCATCGAACGAACCATGAAACCATCCAACATTCGAGCCATCAAACGGGTTTGAAGAAGCTTAGGCCAAGACGCCCAAAAATAATGAGTGTTAATGTGGGTTCGCTTCGAACTCGATTTGTTGCTAATTTTTTGTATAAATAGTTAAGCGATTTCAACAGCAGACAGCAATACGAGCAGAGCAACCCAACGCCCAACAGATTGAGCAGGTCAGAACCAGATACAAGACAGAAAAATATACAATCAAAATGGTAAGTGATACTCCTCTACTCATCGCCAGAGATACCCCAAAGGCTCAGCCTGATCTTTGGATTGATTGCAGCAAGGAGTACGATTCGGTATTGTTTGTGCGCTGCTGCTGGCTGTGGGCGTCTCCTGTCGCTCGGTGGTGCGTCGCGACGTCTCCCATCTGCCGCTGGAGTATCTGCCGCCCGTGGTGCTACCTCCAGTGCCCAGTCGGGACTACCTGCCGCCTGTGGAGGAGCATGCTGCGACCCTCAACCATGTCCTGCAGCCACCACGTGACTATCTGCCGCCGGTGAACAATGAGTATCTTCCCCCTGTGGTGGAGGAGGAGCTCCAAGAAGCGCCCGTAGTCACAACGGAGGAGGAGATTGCTGTGGAGACCACAGCTGCACCCACCACAGAGGCGGTGACTGAAGCCCAAACCGAACCCGAACTCGAATCCGAAGCAGAGATCGTCACGGAACCCGTGGAGGTGAAGGCCCTGGAACATATCGAAGAGTCGGCCGTTCTCCTGGACGATGGCTATCACTATCGCACACCCCAGGTGGTGCCAAACCTTCTGCCCGTAAAGGAGTACCTGCCCCCCCTCGATGATAATGCAGTCGTCGAAGAGATTCCCGAACACGAAGAGGACTCCTCCGCCCTGCTGGACGATGGCTATCACTATCGTTCGGTTAAGCGTCTGCGCTTCTAGTCTTCCGTTCCGTTACCCTCTAATCGTATCTCGGATATTTTTTTTTTCCCAGTTTCCACCACGAATTTCTGTTTCTGTTGTTTAATTTTATAAAATATATATATACAAATTCCTGTCCAACCAACTGCTGTACCCTTCGTTTGAAAACGGACTAATCGATGTTGCTGCCGTGCAGAACATTTCATTTGTATTGATGACAGGAAATTAGAAAAATGTTTTCACAGAGAACAGGAGACAGGGAGACAGGGAGACATTGTTGTTGTCCTTCTGAGGACATGGCCTCCATCTTCACCTCCACGTCCATTTACCGTCCCCGCAATTGATTTGTTGCCGGTTGTGGCTGAGGGCTTTTATTGTTTTCTTTACGTGTTGCCTGTTGGCATACATTTTCATTAACCAATCTTGGGGAAAGTTTTCCTTTTCCCCCTTCACCCGTCCCCCGTTGCCCGTCAATCTCTGAGCCAGAGTTCAATAATTCAACAATTTCCAATTGGCCGTATAAATATTTGAAAAGTTTTAAATGTTATTTCCACTCGGTTTTTCAGTGTTTTTGCGGTGTGCTGTAATGGTGTTTGTTTTAAGCCTAAATATAAATGGGATTTTTATGTTTCTCCTCGTTTTCTTGGTCGTGTTGCTGTTGTTGTTGTTGAATTGCTTATGAATAATTCAACAATCAACACAAGGGAGAGCGAGAGAAAAGCGTTGTCTACTTGTACGCGCCGCAGAAAAATCCCCAATGCAACAAGTGGTTCCTGCATTCATTCATTCTCCGACGACTCTGACGACTCCGACGACTGATTTCCCTCAGGGGACGAAGCCCCAAGCACAAGAATTCAAATAAAAATGTGAGCCCAAGCACCTTGTAGTGCATTGCACTCTCCAGTCGATTTTCGGGTATTCATGTTCGTTGGCGGTCCATAAATTCTGGCCAAAATCGGTTCCAAAACAAACACCTGTAAACAATTGAAAGCCAGCAAAACATTGGCGGCACGGCCCTTCGTCCAAAGTGGAATGGACTGAGTGAAAAGCTCGTGGAAAAGCATGCCCGAGCTTTCCCGTCCAACATTTTGACGAGGAAAATCGTATATAAGCCGAGTGCCGAGGAAAACTCTTGTTAGTTGCGGGTTTAATATTGCCGAAAGCGAAACAGAAACCGAAAGAACTTCAGCGGAAAATGTTACAGTACGATTAGGCGGCGGGTGCGATAGAGATATTCCTCGGCCGAGGAGCAACAGTGAACAATCGGATGCAGAAGGGCAGCAAATAATGCCCGGAGAGGATTTATCTTCATCTATGGATTTTTTTTGGTCGTGAAAACCTAGTGATAAAGCAAGTGAAAGTATTCCAAAGGTGAGCATCAGAAATTGAAAATGTGATCGCGAAAATCGGTACAGAATTAAAGTTTTAATAAAAAGGATTAGAGCTTTTACTTAAATAATAGAATAGTGACATTAATTATGTTAGATCTTAAACAGTTCTTAGATTGTTCCGGAAACTATAAACAATTGATGTAAAAACGGAAAAGTTAACTACAAAAATCTAAGAGATTAAAAAAAAAAGATATTATTACAAAAATAATAACAAATTCAAAAAATTTAAGCTTTCAACGCTTACAAATTTATGAACGATTGAATTAATGAATTAATTAATAATTGCGTGGAATCAGAGATTACTTATTTTATACAACATTTATAAAAAAAACACGACTAAAGTGGACTACTAAAACAAAGTTGGAGACTAACCTTTAATATTTTACCCCCCCCCCACCAAAAATGAAACAACCATAAATCTCACGAAAATATAAATCAAAATTACCATAAAGCATGTAACTACCCCTCCCCCGGTCCGCAAAAAAGACTCATAACAACTCCTAAAGTCTTATATATGTAAGCAATAGAGGCTCTTGCCTTCGAGAGGTAACCACTCGAATAAATCAAAATTAAATATGAATTAAAAGCGCATTAAAATTGGGCAGCAAATTGATAAAACGTGGCCATCAACAACTGTTAGCCAATAAACGATTTATGAAGGAGGGCAAAAAGAAAGCATCAACAAACAAAAAATTGTACACACTCGATTTAGCCACAAAAACAGCCTGCTCTTCAGCCTCTCATGTGTCTTACATTTTAACAATTAAAATTAAATTAATTTGGCAGCATATTTGTATACATATTTGTTGAACAACGAAAATAAAATCTGTGTCGTTGCTTCGTGTACGAGTATTTTGCAACTGTCATTCCCCCTTTTTCAAACCAAAAGACAACAAAATGTTGACTTAGCAAATTCCATGGGATTTCCATTCTTTATTCACACACATATGCAAAATCAACTGCATTTTCAGTTTTCCCCCCTCAAAGGGAAAAACTCTCTAGGCTGCTGTTTGGCATTTGTTGCTCTGTTGCTCTGGCGTTTTGTCACTTTGTTGTCGGCGGCCCACAACAGAACAGAACAGAACACAAAAGTTTATTAATAAAACGTTTTCACTAACAAAGCACAAAAATGATAAAATAAACGCGTTGCGGAGTGAACTCTGCCGGTGGCAGGGGGACGCCAGTGGCAGGATGGGCGAAAGAGTCAGTGGTTGGGTTGGGTGGTTGCAGGGTTTCATCGGGGGACATTTAATAAACGGGGAATTTCATTGTTCGCGGCATAGAATTGGTTACGACAGAGGTATACTAGAATTAGGTATCACTAATGGGTGTGCATCTATGTATCTCTTTTAAAAAGCAAACCTCCCGAATGAATCTTAAGTGATTATTTTTGATATTCTGATATGTTTTCTTTTCGAATATTTTAGAGAAAAAAAGAAGCTCAAAGACCCGCAGATCTACAGCTCGTGGTAGTTTTTATGAATGATTTTAAACCATTTTAAAACCATTTCAATCCATTTCCAAGGATCTCTCAAGTCACTTTCATAGAGGGTTCCATTTCGGTCTATTAATTGGAATTTAATGGAACTTAAGAGTAATTTTCCTCTTTACTTCACTCATTTTTCTTACTCTGTCTACCATTGCATTCCACGTATTGATGGGTACCGGCCTTGTCGATACCTTATGCTCATCTCTGTAAGAATTATGTGTCTATATGGCCGTGTATGTGTGTGTATGGTGTGTGTGTGTGTATTCGTGTGTTTGGCACGCTTTTTGTGTTTATTAATAACAAAGTAATCAGACATTGTAATCTCCTCCCGCAAAAGCGTATTACAGCAGTAATAACAATGGCAAAATGGAAGGTACCCCCTTCCCTTTCTCCCTGTCTCTCTCTGTCTCTCTGATATTCTCTCATTCATTTGGCGATTTCAATGCGGGTTTATCTTTGCCGCTTGGCTGTCTTCACGGGGCTGCATCCTTGAATCCCTGATTCATTGTTGTTCCTGCGCCTCAGCGCCGAACACGCTTCCGGCTCAAGTGGCAGCAGCGGCGAGCAGCAACAGTGGTGTGGCCTCAGTGGCAGTGGCAGTGGCAGCAACATAATCATCAGCAAAGGCTTTATAACCTCCTTCGAGTATACATATGTATATCTATATCTATAATAGCGTGTATCTGTTTTTGTTAGTAGTATTCTTATTATTTCAATGTATTTTCTATAGATACATATGTACATATGTATATATTCCGTTGTATCTCTTTTTTTTCACTCTTATGTTTTTATTATTTTCTAATTTTGCGCTTCATTTACCCGAGAATTATTTTTTGTTTTGTTTCCTATAGCCGGTAATCGAAAGGGTATTTGATAGGGTAGGTTCAATAAAGGACCCACTCCCTTTATTGAAAACATGAAAAGGGATAAGAGGTTGTCGCACTCTAAAGTATAAAGATCCTAGAATACACAGATCCGTTTCCATAGATTTTGGCCGCTATTAAAGCTAGATTTGATGCTTCTGCAATAGACACAAAAATGCAAATATTTTCTTACCTGAAACTTGAGAAAATTTTGTGGAATTCGTAGATTTAAAGATATGAAGCTTTATTTTGGTAGAGTCACGTATAAAGATATTATCTAGCTATTGACTACAAATCAACATAAAAGAATAAATATTGCGGCCAGCAGAAAGATTGTTTTATCATATACATATGTCTTCTAATTGAAAGAGATCCTTCGTCTCCTTCGAAAAGGAGAGTATACTCCTGTCGGTGAGCTCATCCACAGGATTTTCTTTTGGTATTTGATTTTGTTTTCGCTTTTATTACGAGTATTCTTCTGTTTTTCTAATTTGACTTTCGCTGGGCGCTGATTTGTGCTTCAAAGCCGTTGACTGATTGGGATTTCAGTTGATGGAGGGCAGGCAGAGGCAGAGGTGGAGGTGGAGGCGGACAGGACCTGCGAGGATTGGGAGCATGGATTTCAGGAAGGATACATCAGGGCGGGGCAGGGCAGGGCAGGGTAGGAGGCAGTGGGCATGTGGCATAGGGCAGGTCCTATTGATGACTCGATGGCGTGTGCTTATGGCTCTCAATCATTTTGTTTGCTTCTTGTTTTTTATGTGATACAATTCCTATTCGACTCCACTCCACCTATGGAATGGCAGAGCAATTTCTGTTTTGTTTTGCCAATTTGCCGCCCATTTTGTATGCAAATTGGCAAGCATTTGGTGTCAGTCTTGACACGCTCTGTCCTTAGTATCCTTCCGTATATCCTGTCCTCCATTCTACCCCCCCCCCCCCCTAACCTTTTTCAGTGGGTCAAAGTAATAAAAGCAACAAATTAATTTGATTTGTTTGCAGCTTTGATTTGCAGCGCCCCATTGCCATTCGCCAATTACTGGAAACCGCTTTTCAAATTTCCTTTTTTTCTTATTGCGTATACGCCACGTGTAAGTGGAATTTCTTCTATCATCTATCAGGGGAATGTTTCTGCTTATTTCATGAAAACAGCGCAAATTATTGGTTGCATTCCGCATTTAATTGATGCCCATAAAAACCTATGAAAAAATCATTGAAGAGCCTCCAATGAATACAAGAAAAATTGTATGAATGAATCAGAGGTGATCTTTTGTTTAT